TAGGGTCAGCTTTATTAATATAACAAAAATGAAAATATATTACAGGAATATGCATGTACTGAATTAACTTTATCTACTCGATTTCGTTTTTTCACGTCTTTTTTATTTTCTTTCTTTGACGTTTCCCCACTTTCATTTTCTACCAACACTGCATCACGAGAACACTTCAAATTATGCTGTGCTGAACCCATGTTGCTTCCTGAAGCTTCCCCAATTTTATCGTCTCCCAACATCGCATCACTCTTTTTCATCTTCCGTTTTTTCACGACTTTATTATCCATCTCCTTCTTTGATGAATCCTCATTTTTATCATCTCCTGATAGTTCATCACTAGATCATTTTTTTGCACCTTTTTTATTAATTCCGAAGTCGATCTCTAATGCATATTGGGTTATTTTATTAATCCATCCTGGAATTTTCTTACAATCTTCGTCTTTAGTTGTCTTGTATTTTTGCAGGAGGAATGTTTCAAAAATGTTCAGTGGTACAACAAAGTATAAATTAAAGTTATTCGCATCCTTCCTCCATTTGTTGAGGTCATTAAGTCCTTTTATCTATACAACCTGAGTTAGTGATAAAAGTGATAACTGCAAACTATAAATTATTTATAACCATTGTCCCCTACCTTCATGCCATGGTTCTTTGAGATAGTAATTTGGTACAAGTCCAAGGTTTTGTTATCAAGGCTAAAAGAATCAATCAATGCAAATGTCTTTGATTTTGGTCTGTTATAATATTTCTTACGTGCTTCATTCAGTGCCATAAACCAGTTACATTTTATCTCCTTGATATTTATTTCGTTTACCTCTGAGTTATCATTCAGGCATCACACCCTAAACCTACCACCTCTTTGCAATTCCAGATGAGCATAATCTTCGAACAGATTGCCACGAAATCCAGCGATCATTAGATGCTCATGACTGCTTGCGACAAAATTATGAACATCAATCTTTGTTTTAGTCTCATATGCCTAGATCATTAAGTCAGATACTCTCGAAGAAGCAAAATAGTACACAAATTCCATAAAGTTTGATTTTACATCAAGATGTACAAGTCTACCACTAATTGTATCTGTAGGCATGCCTGACTTATCAATAGAGTTCATACATTTTTCTTAGTCGGATTTAGAAATCAGATTATCGTATTTTTTTTGATATGTCTTATCATCCCATTTTAAAAGAACTGACCAGGGTATTGGACTCCACTTGTCTAACAATTCCCCAACTAATTCAAGTGTGAACTCTTCACCTTCATCATTTTTCTTATTCTTGTATTGAAGATCTCAAAGTGTGATGATTTCCTCATGATCCTAAATTGGCATGAAGTATTGAGTAAAACCCAACCATTTGACAGCCTCATTGAATCTTTCTACTTTCAGTGATGTGAGCAGGATCATATAGGCCTTATATTTAAATGTTGAAGCTTGCGCATCAATTAAAAGGAAGTTATTAGGATTCTTCAGTGTTCTGCGAAACAGGCTAATATCTCCTTCTTGCACATCACCATCTGGAGAGAACTGATAACAAATGTTTTCGCTGCATTACCAGACTATTATAGACTCAGGATAATTGTAACAAATGTAAAAGAGGAGATATAGACCAAAGTATGTCTTTCCGATACCAGGAGTACCAGTAATTGTGCAACCAGTAAAGGCTGGGCCATCTCATCCGCGTTTCTTTTTAATTAATTCAATTAACTGCAAATAGCAGTTCCGTATGAGAAGCCTCGATCCATTATCCTTATCTCCCAGAAAGAACACACCATCCGGTAGACACAGCATTCCTCTGAAGCTATTGATCAGAATTGACGGCAATCGCACGTCAGTACATTCTCTATTTTTGTATAGTATGCCATCTGAATCGATAATCACACCTTTATCTAGGCAAATCTGATTATCTTTTATCATAAAGTAAGAATTCAGAGCATTTAATTCAACCCTCTTCATATCTTGTGGTATCAGAAAGATTATTCTTGCGTCAAGAAGTTTTTTCCAAAATTTGACCACACCAGATCCAGCTGTTTGATTAATACAATGGAAAAAATAAAGGGATAGTTAGTCATTTCCATTATTTCTTCAACGCAAGAATATAACACTTTTAATGAGTATGGCTACATAAATTAACAAACCTTGGAGCTTTTGCTCTATAATAGGAATAAATGTATGAGGCACAAGTTAATAAATGAAATTATTGTGGAGAAAGCAATATAGGTTTGGAATATGAGTCAGAGACTCGACACTTTGTGTCTTCGAATGCAGTCATGGTACTACTTACCCTTTCCTTCGCCCTTGATTTTTTCAATCCAAGTTGAAATTTTTTTAGCCGGACCCAGTTTTAACCCAGCTCGTATAAGTTCATCGACGTTCAAGCTGAGGAGAACTTCGCCAACAAGTTTTTGTACTCGAAGAATTTTGAGATCATCATCATCCAGTCCTATATTTTGGTCGCCTAAAAATTTTATCAGAGCCTCCATTGTTTTATATCCTTCAACTTCGTTGATTGTAGGAAGTGAAATTGTTTTTCTAGTGGAAGTAGACATATTCACGTATTTAGTTTTTGAGATAGGACGAAAAAATTTTTTTAGTAAGAAATAGTTGTACAATAGGTCACATATTGTTACACGATAGGATGACAATGCCGATATTGTATTTTGCCAGAATTCGAATAAAAAAATTCCGCATGCAGGGACCGTGATTTATTTAAAATATTTCAATGTTACGGAATTTGTCAGTAAGGTTACATGAATTCTTAGACTATCATTACAGCATTGATCGTCACGTTTCGTGACGGAAATTTATTTTTATTAATTATTCGAGGATATAATAGAACTTGAAACTATTATGAAATAGTAAAACTTTCACTTATCACTTCTTTCCTTAAAAAATTATCACATTCACATTGCCTATATTTGCCAACTGCATGCTTTGCAATATAGATATGAATGATGATTGCATTCGTCACAAACCTTTTTTTTTCTCATAAATTCGAAAAAAGATTATATAATTATCTCATATATATAACAAAAAATCTGGCTTCGAGTGATAAAATCATGAGAAGGCAGGGATATGCCACTTTTCGAAGTAATTTTGTTTCTCTCTACGTGTAAGTGTCTTATTCTGACCTTTCATCTTTTACAAAGTAAAAGAAAAAAATATAACATGGCTAAAACTTTTTTATTATACAAACCTGTAATGCATGGCACTTGTGCTTGTGACCCGTTTACGAACAAATTATGCATAGGAAAGAGTCATGATTTTATTCCTATATTTAGCAAAAAAATTTTTTCTTTTACGGACACAGTAAGAAAAATTATTTTTGTGTGCTGTCTATTCGTACATGTTTATTCCATAATTTTATTAGTAAAAAATGAAAAAAAGATAAGTGCTTTTCGTTTTGGATAGTATGAGGTACATATAACATGCTAATGAATTTCTTTGTTACGTGGAGGTTCTCTTTAGTCATGTGGATTTTTATTCGAAATCTTATTGGAAGAAGTGTGACATTTAATGTCACAGTTAAACCAATGAGATCCGACAAAGTTTTAAAACAAAGTTATGGGTTATGCTGAATTACATGGTAGAATGAAAACCGGAAACTTTATGATTTTGGCTTTGAGAGCCGTAACATTAATGTCACACTACTTTACAAATAAAAAATCAAAAATGGCCGTAGCCCTTCCTAAAAGAAGTCTTTATTATCAAGAGTTACATGAAATACATGTAGCAGTAGGTACAATTTATTCATTTAATCTGGCAATAATAAAATTGACATCATCCGAGGTAGATTTATGATTGTAGTAGCATTAAAAGACTTTATCCATTCTATCATTCTTTACCACCAACGTTACTAAAGAGCCTAAAAACCTTTTTACCTCTTTTCTTTCTTTTTCGAAGATTAGTCTCAGTAAGTTTATCTTGTACAGAAATCTGATCCCTGATTCTATCATTAACTCGAGCATTAGATACATCCTCATTACAAGTTTTTCTAAAATGATCGAACAACTGCTTAATGGCTTGGTCAAAATTATAATAACATCGAATCAAATCATGGGTGGTTCTCTGAAGATTGTTTTCGGCAGTATCAATCTTATTATATAAATCGAGAAAATCAAGCGAGCTTACATCTATCTTAGAGACACTCAACTGCAAAGTGATGGGGCCTTCAACTTGTTGATAGGTTGGTGAAGTCAATTCCTGAATTAATTTTTTTAATATAGGAGAATCCTCTCTCTTAACCTGTTTTTTGGCTTTTTTGCTAGGTGATTTATTTTTAGAAGTATCCACGAATGATCTTTTGTGGGGGCTTTTAAATAGATTATCTTCACCTTCTCTATTATCTACATCTGACATGTCTTCTTCTGGAATTTCTTGAGGACTTCGAATATTATATTTTTCCATTCTTCTAACAATTGATGCCGTGCTTGATTCTGAATCCTGTCTAGAAAACTGATCAAGAATTTCAATACTTTTTTTGCAGTTTTTAACAGGACATATGTTTTCTTTGGTAAGTAAAATTTCTTTATCGATGCAAATTCTATGAAATACATGACTGCAAGCTAGTATTGTGAATGACTTAATAGGACTTAAAAAAATTTCTTTATTACATAATACGCATTTATCTAGTTCTGGGAATTTTTCAATTTTAACAATAGGATCATCGAAAAATTTTAGAATATTAAATGTGAGGTTTTTAAAATTAATAACAGATATTTTGTCCTGGGTTGTGGAAGCGTTATTTTGTTCTGACATAATAGAAATTTTATACACTGAATGCAAGGTAAGTTTTCATAACAAAATTCCTTATATTTAGCTTATTTATATAGTTTATTTTTCACGACTAACAAACCCTTGATCTATAGATCAAGAAAAAGCTAATTTTGGGCTTGGCGATCTATTTATTTACGAATTAATTAGTATAGGGAGGGATCGCACATGTTTTTGCGTAATTATATGCTATTTTAATCACCTATTCGTACCTCATACAAATCTACCAATGACCCATAATGGAATTTTATCATGTAGAATGGATGATGCTATAGTGCCCATCATATTTCGTAGGATCAGACTGTAAATCGCTGGCATAATTTCTATTCTTGTCCCATTCTAAGATCAGAGACATCAGATTGACTTGCGTAATGCTAATTTAAAGATTCATAATACGTGTACTATGTCAAAACATTCCAGAAATTAGTTGGCGGATTAATTATTCATTGATCTATTCCCTATAGATTTGCAAAAATACCCGCTACATAACACAGGACGTAGTTAAATTACATGACCTCATCTGCGGGACAAGAGAAGCTAAATAACCCCTTTTTTCGAGCTTGGAGAAAAAAGATCCAGGTTACCGATATATCCAGATTACTGATATATCCGGCTTCGAGTGATTTAATCATGAGAAGATGAGATTTTTATTTCACTTTGACATTGCCAATTTATAATAAAAAAAATATTAATATAAAAATATATCTCTCAATTATGATCCTGCCTTCTTACAATTTTTGCTTGAAGCCAGATATAGTTAGTTAATGGATTTTTAGTTTCTAAAACAGTTAATCATATATCTTTTTTTGATCTTGTGAGAAAAAAAGGGAATATAATTAGGAAAACAGCAGACAATTTAATCTTACGTTCATAAAGGTTTAGTGAAAATTCTTTAAACAAGTGCTTATTACCTGATCCTCCTTTTGGTATTTATTTCTGAATTTCAGTTAATATTGCATCAATTTCAGCTAATATTAAATTCATTTCTATTGTTTGAGATGATGAAGAAGCCTGTATTTGGGGTTTTGAATTGTTGTTTGTCTCTGGTTTGAAGTTAGACTTTTCTGATTTTGTATTGTTTATAGTGTAATTTTTTTTCTGCATCTAGATGAACAATCTTATGTTTTAATATTATTCTGTTAAGAAGATCAAGATGCTAATGAGTTGGGTTTGGTTATTATGGATTTTGCAGGCATGTTTACTTTCTATTTTTTTTAATATTTTAGATGTAATTTTATAAGACTTTAGGAATTCACTAAATACTTTAGTGTTTCATATTTTATTTTTATTAAAGGTGGGATCACCTAACTTTCTAGCCTTTATAGCTTCTTGAATTCAGATGAGTAGTGTTCTTGCACATTCTGGATTTTTCTCTATGGCAAAAAATAGGCAAGGTTCTAGATTATCCTTATTTTCTTCTTTATTCTTAACATATCTAGTACAATACCAAGAATAATTATTTTTATATTATGCTGAAAGACTGAAAAGATCAACTTCATAGTGATTGATCTAGAGATTAGATACTTCAGTTGGCCTTATACACAACATTATTATTATATCTGCAAGCTCCTGTAATGAGAGATTATTAATAGTATTGATATTTTGAATCTTTTTAAGTCCCTTTTCTAAGAAGAAATATGATAGGATTTTTAACTGATTATTAGTTACATCTTGTTTAGTTTGTTCTTTCTGAATTTTGTTAGAAGCTGTAGTAACATTTGAGTCTTTGGCATAAGTATCAATTAGTTCATGAGCAATATTAACTTTCAGCAATTCATTATAAAATAGTGAGAGCCGTGAACAACTGGTGACAATTTTTTTATCATTATTATTTTTTGAATTTGTCAGAGAATGAATGAAAATGTTTCATTTATCATCAGTTTTAGACAATATTTTGCTCCTTCCTCTATGATAAGTTTTTCTTTTCTCTTATCTGATATGAGAGTCTCTATTTGCTCTTTGCTAAATACATATCTTTTATTAGTGCATCTGGCAAGGAGATCTTTAACATACTTGTGGACCTTACAATTATATAATTAAACATTAAGTTCTAGAACATGTTTTTTTAATTGTTCTGGAGTGAAGTTAGCTATCAAATTATGTTTTTTTAGAAACAGTTCTAGAACTAATACAAAGTTATTAGTTTTGGGCTTTCAGGTCTTTGGAGGAGTTGCTTTAGTAGACATGTTAATGATAAGTAGATTGCAATTATTATCTAGTTATACTAAACTACTTATTTTTCAATTCGAAAAAAATAATTAATAATTTAGGATTTTATTTTGCCTAATTGTAAAAAATCCTCTTATTCAAATATCTTACTTATAAACTGGCTTCTTATTCATTCTTTACCAAAGCATACTGTTCTTCTAAAGTATTCTTATATTTTTTTGCCATTCTCTATAGATATTGAGCTATAAGAATGTGATTTCTTTTTTCTCAAGTTCATGCTAGATAATCTCTTTTCTTATTAATCTTTCTTATACTGTCATTTCTATATTTTCATTTGGGTCTTTTTCACTCTCTTTTGCATAACTGCACATTCATGCATTCATTTCTATTTTATAATAAAATGCAGTAGAATTGAGCCTGTCCTTTTCTGTAATAGTTACAAATATATCAGGATCTTTACCAAGTTCGATTGCTTTTTTTTTAAGACATTCTTTGTACTAGGTCTTGCTTAGAAGTATTGCAGATGATACTTCATTGATAGGCTTAAAAGAATCAGTTTTTTTAGAAGATGTATCAGGCACCACTCCACTTATAAACTCAATAGGTTTAGGAAGCTTGCTAGTTTCAAGCTAGTCCTTTTGAGACCCTCAATGATTTTTGGCTCAGGTAGATTAAACATCTTAGAAGTTTCAGAAGTCTCAGATGTTAAAGCAACTAGTACTTCTGCTTCTTTTTCCATATAGTCAAATAGAGCTTGGGTTATATTGTCCAATTTATCTACTTTCTTATCACTAAATGAAAGAATCTTTTTTGGTCATTACAGAGCTGTTTTTAAAAAAGCATTTTTTGATACATTAAATATTGGTATATCTGTTGTCTTATTTTCAGGTATGTCAGATTGAGGTATATCAGAGAATTCTTTGATATTACCTAGGCCAAACTTATGAAGCTTAACTATAATTTTAAAGTAGTTAAGAATATATTGTCATTCCCTTTTTCCTTTACCTATTTGCTCCTGTTTACACTCAATAATATTTTTTTCCGATAGCTTCTTACCAAAAATATTGTTAGATAATGACTTTTCACTATTATTCTTACACCATTTAAGATATTTTTGATACAATACTTTCTTACTTAATATAAGTATACTATTTTCAATCCAAGATACAATATGGTCAATTAAAAATTAGATAGGATTTGAAAGCTGTTCATGCATTATATCTACTTTTATTTTAGTTGCAGAAATTTTTCCAGGACTTCAATTTGATAAATCATGGCTAAGAAGATATGACATGACTACTCCTGGTGCATCAGGATGGTTTAGAATTTCCTCTAGCTAGCCAAAATATGGTATATTACCTCTATAGCATGCTGAGACATCAAAACAGATTATACAAGAATCTCCTATATCTATTTTGAATAGGGCATTCTGATTACTTGTAATCATATACTCAGCATAATCATTTATTTATATAGTTTCAAGACTCTTATGCTCTATAGCTACTATTCATTCTGTTATGAGTGATTTGAGATGCCTATTAAATCTATGCCATTCTCCACTCAACATTCTAGTTTCATTCATAATGATGAGCTTTTGAGCTTGAATAGCACTATTAAAGCATCCAAGAATTTTTTCCAAATCTGATGTTGCAAAATGAAAGAGTAATCCTAGGACTTTGTTATTAATAAAATTAGTGATGATATTTTTCATGCATTGTTGTAATAAAGATTTTAGTACTAAAATAATTCAGAGTTTCTTTTCTGACTTCTATACTAAATATACCTACCAGTTTCAAATATATTTATCAAGTCTTTTATTCCTACTACAGATTATGTTCTTTATATGTCAGAGAATCAGTTCTATAATTTTATTATTTATTTCTGCTACCAGTTTGGCTAAAAATTCTATAAAAAGATTAAAGAACTTAGTATTATGAACTAGAGTATTTAGCAGATATAGTAGAAAATTAATATTGCAATAAAGGATTAGACCTTTGGTAACTGCCCGATCTATTAAATTAATTAACTTCATTGCTTTTCCTACTAGCTCAACTAAGTTAATTTCATACTTGGCAAGATCTAGTTTTGGTGCCATATCAAAATACAGTCTACCATTCATATTCTCTGTTTTGAGTACCCATAATCTTGATGTCATTTGAATACAGCCAACTGTTGCCTAAATTGCATCATAAATCTCATTTTGAGAAAATTTCTGTCCAGATACACACATGTCAATTAGATCACCCCATACAAAGTAATTATTGGGATTTGAAATTCTAATTGTTCTAGTTTTATAGAACTTGAAAGTTTTTGTTCTTGATCTAAGACAGTTTTATTAATAATAAGTTTTTTTGAAGGCTTTCTCAATCCAGGTTGCCTATCTTAGTTTGCTCAGTAGCAGTAAAAACTGTAAGATTTTTTATTTTGTATTATATAGGCATTATCACTATCATGTTCTCAGTCACATATCAGACTCTATGATAGAGAGCTGTGTGATAATAGAAATTTGTCAGAAAAGTTTTCAGATGGGTATGAGAGACTATACCCTTTGATGCTAACTTCTTGAAGCAATTTTTCTACCAGTTCAAATTCAGCATTGGTGATGACATTATTTATGCTAGGACATCTTCTTATTTCTTGTTTTAGAACAATTAAGAGAGGACTTTCTGTGATTTCTAATTTATCATTTGGTGGGTGAATCATAAAGTCAAAAATGGTTCCTTCTTTGGAATGTATTACTTTTTTTACACGAACATGCTCCTTTGTTTTTTCATTATACTTGGGTGAACCAAGCATTCATAAGGAAAATAAATGTTTATTCGCAATATTATCTATATTATTATTCTACTGAAAAGACGCTAGAAGTTTCTTATGAACAAGTTCAATAAATATTGCAATCTGAGCAATATTTTTAAGTCTCATACCAGTAGTAGAAATGTGAAGGGATATTTTTTTCACATCAGTACTACTGGCAACAGTAATACTATTTTTTTTTACTTTGGAAATATTTCAAGACAAACATCTCTAAAGGCATGATTGAGTGTATCTAGTATCTCTTTATACATAAGCTTAGATTTAATGCCATTATGCACCTCTCGTAACAAATCAAAATCTATAATGGGCCAGAGTGGCTTATCACTATCAATAAATTTGTGCAATAAATAACCTTCATGGTCTGAAAGTATGGCTTCGATACTATCCTCATTGTCTGTGCCTAGAAAATTCCTTGGTCTAACACTATTATCATGAATTTTATATAAGCATGCACCTATATCAGAAGCTCTTAACCCACAATAGTACAGGGCAGGGCCATCCAAATTCTCTGAAAGCTCAGATTAGATCATGATATAATATCACAAATATACAGTTCGAAAGAATGTATATATTCTGAGAGAAAAAAGTTTAAAATAAAATTAATTCTGAAATATATAAATCGATACATAAATCAACTATTCATAGTTATTAAAAATGTTATTTTATTAATGCTCTTATATTCTTAGAAGTGGTGAGGTTTGCAATAGGAGATGCTACTGACCAGAAGGATGCCAAGTTCATTAAAACTTTCCTTTATATGTACCTTGCAATGAATGCAGTAAATTAACTTTTTTCAAATATAGTACTTGCAATATCTATACTAAAATGCATCGTAAAATAGAAAGTATTATCAAAAAAAGCTAGAGGACTTGGCTTTAACACAGATGCCAATAGGTAATTTAGGATAAAAAAAACTGTCACTAGTGTAACTAGAAAAAAAACTAGTGACAGAACTAGTGACACAAATGATAGGCTCTTTAGAAATCCTAGACTGAAAGAAAGTTTTCTTGATAGGTGTCACTAGTGTCATAGTGTTACTAGAAAAATTTGAGTTTTTTAATTTTTTTTATTTTTTTATAGCATATATACACCACATATAACTATAAGGATAACATAGACAAATTTGATTTTTTTCTAAAATTTACTACTTTTTACTAGTGACACTAGTAACATTAATCAATAAGAAAATAAAAAAGCCTAATAATCTCAAGAAGCATAATGAACATGTCACTAGTCCTGTCACTAGTTAGTATATAGAACTAGTGATACTAGTGACACTTAAAAAATTAGTATACTCATTGCCTTGACCAGCACAAGCATATTTAAACTATAATTGGGCCTCAGAAAAGCTTACAACATTCTACCAATATACTTTGAAAACATCATAAGCATAATACCTTTGGTCTTGCTCTTGGTAACAGGAAAGTATCCAGAACCCAAAGTGCAGTAAATTCAGTTAATTATAGTTAGCACTATTATATAATTTTGGCCAGAACTTTGAATACAATAACTTGGTACCCAAACCAGCATAAAAGTAATCCAGAACTGGTGAACTAATAGAACTTTTCCAGTTCTTTGCTAGTGCCACAATAGTTCTAGACACTATCAGTCCACTACTATGGTGCCAACTTGGATCCTCAAACCATGTGTTCTAAAGATCAGCCAAAATTATATTATTGTGTTAACCAAAATTAAACGTAGGTCTACTGCACTACTTAACATGATATTTTTTACCATTTTGACAGATAGCTACAAGGTAATAAAAAAGATGCAAAGCAATAAAAACAAATAGTTATAAGCTTAGTTATAAAAAGACTACAGAGTATCAGAAACAGTAAGTAGGTACACTATAATCATAACTAGGTTACAGTATAATCATAACTAGGTTACAGTATAATTATAACTAGGTTACAGTATAATTATAACTAGGTAACAATCTAATATAAGTAGGTTGCAATATATATATATTGCAATCTACTACTTATTTAGTTTTATTTAATAATTATTTTTATAATTAAACTATGAAACTATATTGCAAGCCTTTATGTAATATATAAATATACTAACATTTTTTTAAAATTAATCATATTAGTATATATCTGCATACTAATCCTAAAGTAAATAAATTTTTGAAAAGTTTTTTTTGATATGATATTCATATATTAAAGTAGCTAGCCAATCAAAATTATAAAAAACAAATAATCATCAGCCAATCAGATAGATATTCAACTATGCTACTCTAAACTGTATAAATAATATAAAATTAAATTGTATTTATTAGCTAATTAGACAAACTTCTATCTATGATACTGTAAGCCTGATTTTTGGGATCATAGGTGCCCGAATCAAAGTGACAATCCTTACCCAATCCAAGGTCATACAAAAAGTAACTGAAATGTTACTTATGTTACTTTGGCTATATATTTATTAATGAAACATCAGTCTTCTATTAGATTTAGTTAAAATATTGAGTATAAGGAATATATTGCATTTATGAAATAAATTAATTGTCAATATAAATAAAATGTTTATAATAAATAAAGGACATTTCTGCCTTGGGAGAGAAGAGGAATTAATCCCTGATAACCAATATACCCTGAATAAAAATACAATTGCATATATCTAAGTACCTAATCTCTAATAAAAGTGAAAGTATTATTCTATACAAACTAATAAATTATCATTAATCATATTGTTAGCACAATCATTTGCCTATATATCACTAAACTTGTCATTGATTGCTCACCATAAGTCACAGGATCAAGAAAGCTGTTAATATAATAGAAGAGCTCCAACTCCAATCTGATATAGAGTAATCCTGGATTTATGCAGACAAAGAAAAGACAAGGTTAGTACAAGACTAGGTTGAAGGAAAGACTTAAAGTAGAGACCAGTACTTAACTACAGATAAACCACTAGCCAAATCTAATATGCCTTCTTTGACTTAGCCACTGTAGGTTATGCAAAAATTGGAAGAGAGTAGTGACAGACTCACCAATTTACTGAATTAAAATACAAATTAACAATGTTATACATGGCAGGGCAATTTCACACTCGTTTGCAATTTCAAATGTTTTGAACTTTCTTGATCATGTCATATTACACAGACATGTGAATGATCATTGGTTGAATCATATGACCATAAAATTTTTTGTTGGCAAAGATCGCTGAAGATCACTTCCGACCCTATCTGGATCCAATAAAATCACAGGATCTCATATAACAAACCAAATGTGAAAAACATAAGAAACTGTAAAAAAAATGTAAATAACACAAAAATTGACTATGATGACTAACCTCTGACCTCTAAGTAAAAGTTTTCAAAATGAAATTTTACTTGTAGGACATAGTTGTTAATATTAGATATATAGAGAATTTTTAATATACTACAATTCATATTTTTTTAACCAACAGCTTGGGATTTTCTTGATATAAGGAAATTAGTTCTGATAGAGTAAAAAAACAAATACATATCAATTTACATACCGTTCTTGATAGAGTTTTAAAAAAAGGGCCTATAAAATACTATACTACCATAGTGAAGTATATGAAAAATGATAGAATTAGAGTTCATTTTTAAAACTCTATCAGGAACAGTACTTAAATAATAAATTTTTTTTTAACTCCATCAAGATCAGTACCAACGATCTATCAGGAAGGGTATTTCTGTGTTGATAATACTATTGTAGTTTTACTTAAAAATGACTATGAATTCATTAGTAAAATTCTTAGTGATCTTGGATAAAAGTAATTAATTTAAGCCTATCTGACCAAGGTTCTGACCCAGGATTTTTATGATCTCTTTGTTTATACGTTGGAAGGCTTCATACAAATATGCATATGACTTATATTAGCATAGTGGGCTTTCATCATGATTGGCCAATTTTTGTAAATCATCCCAAGATGCAAAATTTTTATTGGTTAATCGAAGTTTTAAATCGAACTGTTGCAAATAAAGAAAATAATACAATAAAAATGATTATAATTGTAATGAAATGAATACTAACAGAAATCTTTACCAAAAATCTTGATAATTTAAAACCTAAATCTATAATCTTGTCTCTGTCAAACCAAAATTTTTATTAAGAATCACAACACATTACAAATCAAAAAAAATTAAAATAATAAAATAATAAAAAAAAATAAAAACAAAATAAAAAAACTCAAGTAAATGTTTAAATTTATTCTAGAACTAATAAAAAATATTTAAACTCAAATTTTAATGCTTGTTCTAACATCAAACTGATCTTTAATTTATTTAAAATCGTTCATTATACAGTTACAGTATCATTATTGTATATTATTTTTAACTTTTTTTATTAAATATATAAGCCTTATAACTTGCAACTTCATATTATTACCTATATTATAATCAGGTTTTTTTATTAGTTGAGATTACAAATAATAAGTTTTAACAAGTAAAAGACAATCTAAATTGCTAGCAAAGGGAGCATAGTGCACTTTCGATGTGATTGGCTAATTTTTGTAGATTATTTTTTTATCATGAATGGGGATTTTATCCATTTAGAGACGGCATTGATCATTAATTCATATATGCGAAAATTTCCAGTTGAAAATTAAAAATTTATAAGTAATTAGGTCACAATTAGGTACATATGTATAAAAATTTTATATTACAATTAGGACATATGTATAAAAATTTATAAGTAAAATTCATAGATGATTCATAAGCAATTCATTATCAGGCTTACAATTTTTGATCAAAAAACTTTAATATATTAATAAATTATTCTATATTGCTCTAAAATTAACTATAGCCATATTATAAAACTGACCTATATTGCTATCTAAAATTATATCATCAACCTCTGCAGTATTAGTATTTTGCTCAGTAGTATTTTGCTTAGTAGTATTTTGCTTAGTAGTTTTTATAGTATTTTGTTTACTTTAGTTTTTAACTATTATTACTTTAGCTGAATTTACTGTCTCATCAAAACTTCTGCAGTTCTTTTTGATTCTGCTTGTAAAATAATTTATACAATACTTGCATTGACTGCCTAACCTAAATAATAAACATTCAAAATGATAAGCATGATCACAAATAAGTATAAATTCTATCTTACATGTCTTCATACAGTCTTTTAAGTTACAATATTTATCATTTCGTAGAGAATACATGGAATTCTAAGCTGTTAACAAAGTTTTAACATCAATATTAACTTCTAATATTGGAAACTTATATTTTGAATTTTTTGAAATCAACTGACTTATATTTTTATAAACATTAGTAAAAAGATTTAGTAAAAATACTGCAGATCATTTTTCAAGAAATACCAGTTGTTTTGCTATATATCTAATATTATGATTATTAGAGAAGACTACTACAAAAGTATTATTATTATACATCAGATCTATCATTTGTGCTTCTTGAATGATTTAATCTTCTGTGTTAGATGTTGTACTTGACATCTAATCGAACTATGAAAATATTCTATATAATAATTATTAAAGACTTAAAGAGAATTAGTAAGTATTCATATGATAGATGATTAATACTATTTCAATAAAACACATCACTTAAAAAGCTAATAGTAATTTGTTATAGTTTTTCTGCCTATATCAATAAAAAATACACTAAATACAAAATATGACTTCTCAATAAAATGGCCAATTTCTACTACAAAATATTACAGAATAAAAATCCAAAACTAGTAGAATATTATTATCAAGAAGATTGATTAGGTATCTGGTTTCAGGATTTTTTAACTACTCAAACTTCTGTAAAACAACTAAACAGATTTGAGACCAGCCTTTAAATACTAATTCTAATAAAAGATTCATTCTATAAGGCTTTGGAGTTTTAGCCAACACCTTCCTACCTCTATAAATATCATGAATAAATTTATTAAAAAAAGTATAATTGATAAGAAAAACAGATTTATGACTATTCAAAGATATATTTAAAGGTCCAATTATTAGCACAATATAAAGAATCTGTTCTGGTATAGCAGAAGAATTTCCAAGTCTAATTATATGAGCAACAGCATGTTGTATATTAAGCTATCTAGGATAATCTATAAGTGTAACCAAAATTTGATTTCTAAATAAGATTTCATCTCATTTATATTTATCAAGCTTTGAAGAGCATTTATATAATGCTCTCTGTACAAAGTTGCTCTACTTTTAGTCCAACAAGTTTAGTATTATCAATACTTTGATTTTTTTTACATTGTTTGATTCTATTATCATAACTGTGAACTAAAAGATGTTTAACCTGCTTCTTATATGTCTTAGGTATAGAGATTAAATCGATAAATATTGATCTTTGCACTGTATAACTCTGTAATAAATGAGAAAAAAAATACAAGTAAGCATTTTCAATAACAGTTATTGCATCAATATCTCTTTCATTATAAATGTTTTTATCCTCAATATTTAGAATTGATGCTGTTTTTGGCAAGACTTTAAGCAATACTATAATAAAATGAAGTATTGCATATGTTGAAATTATATCACTATGGTGATAGTTATGTATATTATGAAAGTCATTGACATTAAGTATAATTAACTTTCCATCCTAATAAAAATACATTAGTTATTTGAAAATTATTTTAAGCATTCTCTAATCTTTTCTTAGGCTTACATTATTCAACAGAAAACTTTCTACTGTTATTATTTGCGTTTTTGCATGTTAGGTTTTTTGTTACAGAATAGTCTCACACTGTACCATTAAGTCAGTATTAGCTAAAGTTTCTATTGTCAAAGATAATATACTAGACACATCTAATAGATACCCAACCTTTGCTTTAACTTCATTAATAAATTTATTATTAAGTCCTACTAAAAAGTAACAAAAAAAAACTAGTCTTTTCTTATTTTTTTTATTAGTCAAGTGGCTTTTTGCTTTTGAATTAGTTCTTGCTACTAATTGATTAAATAAACCTTTCAGCAATGATTTAGTTTCTTCAAACATTCTTTTAAATTCATCCAGATCAAATACAGATTTCTTATTATATACATGCTGTTTTGTGTATAATATTCCAGCTATTAATTTAATCTTCTTACTAAGAAGAACCAACTCTAAAAAGAAAAAAAATTTATAAGAAATCAAAACCATCATAATAAATAAAAATCCATTATTATCTAATTTTGTTTCATCAAGCTCTGTGCATGCTTTATGATATGCAGATTTCAGTTTTTGAAATTCAAATTGAGAATAAATGACATCATTTCTCAACACATATAACCTACCTTGAAATTTTCTTATATTTTCTTTTGAAATCCTTTCTTGTGATAGCAAATACTTGAATGAATTAACATATTCTGGATTATCATCAGTTTTATACAAGCAATGATAGACATCTTTGCTTCTTGTTATAGTTTAAAAAAGTTGATTAAACATTCTGAAACCTTTACAAATGTCTTCGTTTCTGTACTAGATCATAATGTAGATGTATATACCTGGTGTTTTGGGTTCTAATATACATAATTAGTTTTAGTTTTCTTTATATTTACAATTAATTTGTTATAATGTTTCTAGCACAAGGCTTTGCTGACCAAGTCCAAATGTTGGCTTGAACTTGGTATTATTACTTGATCAAATACAAAAAAAGTGCCATACTGTTTATCATCACAGATGACACCTTCCTAATTTTTTAAATTACAGTGCTGGTTTTTTTTTTCTTTTTTTTATTAGGAAGAACTAGATCTAAGTGATGAGAATCTTGTGCAGCCATTTTCTTAATAAATGTCTTTTAGCTAACTTTTGAATTATCTTTCTGTTTTTTAATTTATTTAATACTATATAGAATAAAAGGTATACTACTAAATTTTTTGGTTACAACAGTTAATAATTTGATTTTATAGCAAACAATTGGTTTAAAATTTGCTTAAGGATCATTTTAATATGTAAAGATTATCCATGTTACATTCTGATTATTTAGCCAATCAGAATGAATGCCCATTATGCTAGCAGAGAGACTTTCATATTTTTCAGAAAAGCATATGATTTTTTATGTAGCAGTCAATTAATCAGAGACCATATTGTATCAACAGATCAATAATCAAATGTAACTTGTATATTATTTTTCTTCTATAATTTAACTTTAAGTCATATTTTAAAAGAATAAAACTTTTCATCCAACTTATAATAACAATTTACATATATAAAAAACTTTATTAGAACATTTTTAATAAAAAATTACATGTTCTTTTAATAATATGATTAAAACTTTAATATAATTAACAAAACTATATTATTATACATATAAAACGATTTATATTAAATTAAATATTTTTTAAAAAATATACAACATTTAAAAATGATCTGTAAAGTTATAATAAAATAAACATGTTAACTATTTAAATAATAATAGATAAAAAAAAAAAAACATTGAACTTTATGAATTAAGTAGTACAATATATTTTTAATACCTTCTACTATACAGTAAACAGTACTTAAACTCTTAATAAATCTATTTTTTATTGCATAATTCATCATAATTCAAATTGATTTTCTTAACAAAACATTTACTGAAAAGTTCTTTGATTAGTAAAATATAATATAGTTGGTTTATTTTTTTTTAAGTTTACTAATACCTAAAATTCTGGTTTTATACTACCATCTTATATAAATATTCATATAATGTTGATTCCAGAAATCATCAAAAACAAATATTCTTTCTGTTTAAATTGCTAAGTTTAATATTTATAGATTAAACGTAGTTTGAATATGCCTCTTATATAACTTTGGAATTACTTTACAGATTTCTAAATTACTTTAACAGTTGATAAAACAGAAGTTATTCTGTTATATTTTTTTGGTATCAAGCTTTACCAATTTATATCTGTAGCTGCCAATCCATTTTTGTAGTTGCGAAATGTTATGTTTATATGTTTTTCATATTATATAACATTTCGGTCAGTTATCTAATCAAATTTAAAGCCTGCTATGCTTGGTATAAGATACTCAACACTAAAATTTTAAATAGTTGTAATTTTTTTGAAATTAAAAATATCAAAAATCTCTATTTTAAGTTGCTAATAAGTTAAAATAAAACTGTAAGAATTTCTAGCTTAACTTGTTTTAAAAAAAGTTATAACACTTCAAAATTTACTAATATAATACCTTGTTCTATACTGTATAATGCATTAAAATAGTTAACTTCTTTATAACATATTAATATTAAAACCATTTTATAATTATGAAAAATTTAAATATAACAGAAAATGTGCAAATTGCAACTATTATAACACATCTTATGCTTGGTATCAAACATGTGACTTAGAAAACAATACAAGGATGTCAATAATTGCATTAAAAATTTTTAACACAAACTACAGAATATAATGAGATAATCAAATGATTTCTTTTAATAGATTAGATTATGTTTACAGATTTTTAGCAACTTGGTTAGATAAAAAGTCTAAAAGTAAATATAAAATATAAATATTGTTAAGGGTCCTCATAACATAAAAACAAGGCTTCATCTATTTTTTATTATTATTTATTTTCTTATTTTTCTATTTATTTGTTTATTTATTTTCTTATTTAGTTTCTTAGTTTGTTGATAGTCTATTATAAAGAAGTTTAGTTCAAAAATTAACCAGTGTGTATATCGAGTTATTGTTGGCATACTTGTTGTGTTGACAACAATTATTGTGTTCTATAGTTCTTAGCTTACAATAAGACACAATTGCTGCTAGATGGATACAATAAAAAGGAATCATATTGTGGGTGTAAATTAAAGCACAATAGAAAATACTGGTTAGAAAAATATATTTAAAGAGCTGCTTTACACTTAAATAAAAGAAACAGACTTTGATGTCTTTAAATAAAAAAAAATAAGAATCAACTTCTCAAAGTGTTTAATTTGTTAACTTAATTATATTACATGTTGTATTCATTATACTAATCCTTGTTGTAATACACTATGGTTGTTTCTGAACAACTTAATAATTCTTAAAACTTCTTACATAATTGCATTACTAATGTTATACTTAAATTAAACTTTAACCTAATTTTTATTATTTTTTTTTAATTTTGACACTGTAAATTAATCTATTAAGCAATCAAATTCCTACTTCTAATTAACTAAACTCAGTTCTATCATGTGAATATGATATCATAGCAACTGATCTTAACTGTTTTTACAAGAATAAATACAGGTCAAGTAAACTATTAGAGCTAAATTAGACTTATATTCAAATAAGCTCTCTATATGATAGTAACATTTGATGCCAGTTGTGTAGACTTTGAACAATAAAAACCAATAAGTTTAATTAAAAAACAAGAAAAATAATGAAATAGCTCAACTACCTCAATCCTCTTAACCACCTTAACCCTCTCAGAATTACAACAACCTGTTATTAACTTAAATAACTCTATGCACAATCTGACTAATCAAATTGTTGCTTTGGTCTAACAAATGCAACTTACTTTATTATCACAAATCAATTTTTCTGGTAATCTGTGAGAATTAAGCATCATTTCATACCCTAAGTTCTACAAAGAGGATCAGGACCTTATAACCTGATTAGAAGATGTAGAAAAGGCCTTTGAAGTTAATCTTGTCACTTGCTTATATAAGATTTCTGTAATTGTACTAATGCTAAAAAGTTTTGTAGCAACATGATAGATTAAAAAAAAAATTAATAGCCTATAATTAATCAATAACATGATTTTTTAGTATTGCAACAAAGTTTTGTCATTTATTTTAATACTAAGTTTAGGATACCCAAACTAGAAAGAAAGTAGTTTGCATAGTTGTCTTAAAGAAAATAGTTACTAGGAAAAAGTGTAGATGATTACTATACATCAATAAAAGAAATGCTTTGATAAGTTAAATCTGACAGTTACCAATATCTCAATACAGCTAAAGCTCAAATGTTTATTATAGGCTATATTATGAACTTTATATAGCAGTTTCTTCTTTGATACTAAATACTCTTGAAAAAGCTTATACTAGAGTGAAAGTGTTTGAAAATGCATATAAGCATAACTTCTTCTATGCTGCTTTCTTGGGTCCTTCTATAAATTACTCTCCTTATAGAATACCCAGTATAACAAGAATAATCACTACTATAAGTACTACTTCTGCTATAATAGAAAAAGTTATAAACAAAACTTACTGATATTATTAATAAGATAATGACTCAAATGCAAGACCAGAGATGACCTTTTCAATCTTGTTAACTAGAAACAATAAAAACCAAAATTCAGAAATAGTTTGTTATAAGTGTAGTTAATCTAAGCATATAAGTTATCAGTGCTCAAACTTCATAATGCAAAAACCAACTAATTTAACTATCTCTATTTATTCTAATTCTACTAATAATAGTAAGGCTAATTTACAGAAAACTGTTCAAACCTTGTTAGTATTACTAAATACTTTAAATTCAGGTAAGTATTAGAATAACCAACCTTCTTTTTTAGAAATTCATAAAGAAGATGAATCTTTGTTCCTTTTAGCTAATAGATATATAAAACAGAAGCCTATAACTAGCACTTCAATTTTGCAGCAGAAGGTAGTAAACAAATATGTAATGAGGCTTCAGAGTTAGGCACAATTGATGAAGTATTGATCTCTAACTTGGATGTTAATATAGAAAATAATCAAGAAGGACAAGACCAAAACAAACAAACTGAGCATAAGCAAGCTGAATTTAATTTAATTACTACATCACAAAGAGTTGAACAAACTGATAAACATACTCTAAGAGAATCATTAAAAGCAGTTAAAAAGAATAACAATAAGAAAGCCAAAACCAAAACACATCTGCTCCTAGAAGGAAAAATACTAAGAAAAAATTATCTCAAATTTCTTCTTTGGTTCTTCCTTATTCTATAGTGGCAGATATAAGAGATCAGCCTGCCAACATTACTTTTGGTCAGCTGTTAAGAGCCTCACAATTCATGTAGCAAAAAGTGTCTCAGTTATTGAAGAAGCAGAGAAACCCTATTTAATAGAAGGTTCAAGAAAACATGAATCTTTAACTTATACTAAAAGCTACAGCTCTATATTATAATGCTAAGGTTCAAGGTCAGATCATCCTGTTAATTGTTAATAGTAGGTCATCAGAGAGTGTTATATCATCTCATTTACTAAATGATCTTGGTATAAAAATTGAGTGCCTGTCAGTTGTAATATAATAAATATTTATGGAAAAAATAAAAGAGCAATTAGAGAAATTTCTAATTTCTCTTTTTGTATTAAAAAAGTAGAAATCCTTATTGATGTAATTGTAACAAATGCTAGTTTGTATTGTGTGATAGTAGGTAATATTTAGTTGGCTAAAGTTAATGCTAAAATTGATTGAAATACTGTTGAGATGATTTTATATTAAACAATAAAGAAATAACTGTTACTGTTAAATTTAGGAAGTTGAATAAGACACCATTAAATGAAAGACATAAAGTAGTAGTTAAGAAGGTTGGCAGTAAAAGTAGGAATAGTAGTTCTAATAATAATTATAAGGATGAGGAACTTGAGGAACAATTATTTGCTTATTTTGAATATGAAAACAAGAAAGAAGTGTTAATAAATTAGTAGTATCATAAAAAGCTTGAGTCTATTAGATTAAATTCAAGAATTAGTAAAAAAGAGTATAAACTTATCTTTGATTTAATTGATTATTACTATAAGAGTGAAGTTCAATCACAGGTTGACTATAAGATGAGAGAGCTAGATAAGCCTCAGAAGTGTTGATTGGTGCAATTATTAAATGAACATAATAATATACAGGCACAGAATATTAGTGATCTAAAAAAGATGAATATAATTCAACATATAATATCTACTAAAAATGTTTGGTTTATAAACAATGTTTTTATAAGCACTCTTTTGCAAAAAAGAAATTTCTTAAAAAAGAAATTAATCTAATATTAATTGAAGATATTATTAGACCTTCTACTAGCCTCTGGACATCTTCTGCAGTGCTTATAAGACAGAAAAAATGAATGATGCAATTTTGTGTTGATTATCAGAAGTTGAATGCTGTTACAATCTAAGATAATTATTCTTTACCAAGAGTAGATAAGTTGTTAGATATATTAAATAAGTTATCATAGTTTATATCATTAGACTTAGCCAGTAGATACTGGCAGATCAAGATGGTTGAAAGTAATAAAGAGAAGATAGTATTTATATCATTCTATAGAACTTTTGAGTTTAATGTTATGCCTTTTGGACTTATAAATGCTTTAGCAACTTCTTAAAGATTAATGAACCAGATTTTTAAGAATATTATTGAGCAGTTTATTATAGTATATTTAAATGATTTGAACATTTTGTCTAGTTCATTTAATTAGCATATTGAATACTTGCAAGAGGTTTTTAAACAGTTAAAGACTGTAAGTTGAAACTCAAACCTTAAAAATGTTTTTTTGTAAGATATGAATTGAAGTTTCTAGATTATGTTATAAGTGCTAAGGAGATATCAACTGATCTAGAGAAAGTCCAGCTGTACAAAAATTTCTTGTGTCTAGAAACTTAAAACAATTGTGCAGATTCTTAGAATTAGTTTCTTATTATCAACAGTTTATATCTAACTTTACAAATATTGCTAAGCTTCTTAATACCTTGTTAAAAAAAGAAGATATGTATATTTGGACTTCTAAACATCAAGTTGCATTTAAACAGCTTAAAGAAAAGCTTTTAGATGCCTTTATATTAGCCTATCCTGATTTTTTAAAACTATTTATTCTTTTTACAAACACTTCTGATCTAGCTTTAGAAGCTATACTTTCACAGTTAAATAAAAAAAAGATGAAAAGAGTTATAGCTTATACAAGTTATTCATTAACTCCAGCAAAAAAAATTAATCTGTTATCAAGAAGGAATGTCTCATGGTAGTCTGAGCAGTATCCTATTTTCAGCCTTATCTTCATAAGAATCATTTTACTTTTTATATAGATTATTTGGCACTAAAATTATTATTTTCATATCAGTTACCTCAAAATTGACTGGCCAGATAGATTCTGATCTTGCAGGAGTACTTTTTTACAACTATTTACAAGTCAGAAAAATTACACTTAAATGCTGATAGTTTATTATGAATTTAAAAAAGAAAACTTCTAAATTTATATATCTCTACTTATTATAATAAGACTTTGTTTTCAGATAATCCAATTTTGATTTAATGAATCAAATGAACATAGATATATATAAAATTTTTATTAATTACCTTAGCTGGTCTGAGGTGCCCTCTAATTACAGTGAAAAAGTGCTAAAACATAAGACTTAGTATTACTTTATTAGAAATAAATTGTTGCACAAAACTAATTTACAAGATTCTAAGAAACCTTTATAAGTCCTAAAGCCCTACAAAGTGGAACCAATATTGTATAGAATGCATTCCAACCTTCTAGCTAGTTATTTTGAAAAGAACAGTACATATTAACAAGTTGTAATTTAATATTACTGGCTCCAGATAGGAAATGATATTAAATGATTTATTAAGACCTGTAAAATTTGTCAATAAAGAGGTAAACCTAGAACATGTAAACCTCTACATTTAATTAAGATAGAAAAACCATTTGATCACCTAGATATTGACATTGTAGAATCACTTCTTATAACTAAAAAAGAGCATTGTTATATAGTAATAACTACTAATTATTTTACTAAGTTGCCAGAAGCATGTATTCTTAAAAAAGCTGATGCTAAATTAGTAGTATCTTTATTTTTGAAGACATCATATATAGGCATAGAAGTCTGTATAAATTACTTTCAAACCAAGGTTCTTATTTTTGCAACAAACTTGTGAATACTCTTTGTGCAAAAATGAATGTCTATTATTGAACCTCTACAGTCTATCACCTTTAAATAAATAGCTTAGTAGAAAGGTTCAATAGAACCTTATGTAAAGTACTAGCAAAGTATATCAAACAATATAATGGTAACTGAACTCAGTACTGTAATAAAATTTACTAAAAACTATTAAGCTATAGCAAATTTTAAAGTGATGAGAGTCGAGTGGAAGATCTTTTATTTAAAGGAAAATAAAATAAAAGAAAAGAAGAAA